TAAATACCAGTCTGCCACTGAGAGGTTAGACTCCGTCAACCTAGTTACTCTTTCAAGAATAACTGTTTCAGCTACTTTTCTACTGCACACCAGAAGCCATTGGTCCACTGCCTGTTCAGCCGCCTTTGAAGAAAGGGGCACTGTACCTTTTCCAGATTGCAAAGGCCACTTCAGGGATGGTGCCATATTGTCCTGGCCTCAGAGGATGCCTGTTGCTAAAGCCATAACCACACTTGTATGTCTTGGCAAGAATCTGTAGTCCTTTGTTTCGTGTTCTGTCTGTCCATTTTGTCCTATTGATTCGAGGATACTTTGTTGTCCATTGGCTAACTTTTGCCACAATGAAAGTTAACTCCATATGCAATTGCTTCAATGCCCATATTTTCTCTGAAGTAGATTGGTGCTGCCAGGAGCTGATATGTCTCACAGTCATAAGAAAAAGATTCTAAGTTATTAAAACATTTTAAATGCCATAATCTGTAGATCTCTGAAAGGTTTTAAGATGACCTGTCTATCTAAAATATATATGCTCAACCTCAAAAACATACCTAATATAACTACAAGTTGGATTATAATGTCTAACTACTAACTTTCATTTCTTTATATCCTAATAGTTGGTAATAATAACATTTAAGGATTAGCAAATTGCATTACATTATTAAATGAACTGTATAAGTACAATATCTTGAACAAGATTAGAAATATATGTATAACATTTTCTAACAATCTCAATATATATATAATTTGTATACAATATACAAAAATCCAATCCAATGTAAAGTATTTAAAACTAGTAATTGTCTTTTAAAAGTAGATTGAATAATCTCTCTTTTTATCTATATCATACCTATATCTTATCTTTACTTTTCAGAGTAGATTCAATAATCTATCATTCTATATATCTTTTTTTGTAAGAACCTTAAATCTAATCTCCATTGTTTAGCCCTTTTCCTAACCATTAACAACAACAACTTGTAACCAACCCCCCTAAACAATGAAAATTATCCCAAACCCAAAAACCATTGAAAGACCAAAAACCACCTGCCCACACCACCTCTTTGGGAATGTGGGTATTGTATTCTTAAAATTGCTTCATGCTGGTTGTGGGTGAAGGCATCTTTATTCTGAAAAGAAAAATTTTGGGTTAATTGTCAAGTTCTAGGAAAGGTAGCTATATTATTTGTTGTTCAGTCTCTGCATAATGCCAAAGTTCAGGGCTTATCTCAAGTCCTTGTTCAAGTAGTCTGTGAAACTGGATCATCTCAGCTAGCCAATTCAAAATTGTTCTGAGAAGTCCAAAGCTGAACTGTAGATGATGTTTGTCAGTTTAGTGGTATTATTGTCCATTTGGAATCATTGTTGTGGAGCCCCATCATCTTTCTGGAGACTTCAGATTCGATGTTAGGCCTGGTCGTGATTTCCTGCAGAAAACTGATAGAGACTCAAACACAAAGACATGTATAGGCAGCTAAATGGGGCCTTTTTTCTAGAATTAGTTAGTACTCTATATGACCATTAATATCATAACAAAAGTTTAAAATATATATTAATCTTATAAATTTTGATATAAAATTCATACTTCAAGAAAAGTTTAAAGAATCAAAATAGAATCAAAGAATTGAGATTAGTAGTAATAGAATAGTCCCTTAATTTTTTTTATTTTCTTCTGTCTCACATCAGAAGATGGCTCTTTCTTCTGGCATGATACAGGGAGTTTGCATTTTCCTTTCCTAACAACATGCTTGAGTTTAAAGAAGGAGAGAATCATTCTCCAACTCCAAAGCCAGCTTTAATTTTTAATTGAACTGGGACTACAAGAAGACCATTTGTGTTAAGAGTCTTTAGAGAAGAGCAGAAACAAACATTTAGCAAGACTTACGAAATTTTATAGATGATATACCAATAGGCCAATTTACTCCTTATCTTGGGACATTTTTTCTAGATGACTTGTCCTTTTTCTTCAGATGTCTCGTTTGTCCAGTGTTCTTCAGATTCCTTAGCCTTCATTCTCTCTAAAAGACAAAAACAAAAACCTTTCCCCAAGACTAACTTTGGGGAAGTTCCCTTTTGGCAAGTTATATCTGATTAAATGAAATGCCATGTGTTAATGGTATAAGTTAGATTAAATTGGATAGTCACACTGGTTGATGAATTATCACTTCTTCTAATTAAGAGGTCTCTCTTGTTCAAATCGAAATTATCAATTTTGATGGTATCCACAGCTTATCTTCTCCTGTAGAAACAAAAGCAAAACCTTGTCCCCAACAGTAACAAATATCCTGGTTTCCATTCTGAGGTCAGCACATCCTTAAAGTATATAGACTGATTTAATTCTGTAGTTTTTTCTAATATCCAATGTCTCTCTGCAGCTGTTGTTCCTTTCTCATTAGCTTTGAGGAAATTCAAAGTTAATGGAGCATTATGCAATCTATTTCTGGGGGGTTTTGTTATCCCTTTCTGTTTATTTAGCATATCCTTTAGAGTTCTGTTTGATCTTTCTATAACTACTTGGCCTGTAGGACTATGTGGTATACCTGTAATATGCTTTATATTGTAATAAGCAAAAAACAGTTTCATTTTAACAGAGACATATGATGGAGCATTGTCAGATTTGATTTGTGCGGGTATATCCATGATGGCCATAACTTCTAGCAAATGAGTGATTAAAGAATCAGCTTTTTCAGAACTCAAAGCAGTTGCCCATTGAAATACTGAATAAGTATCAATGGTGTGGTGTACATATTTCAATTTTCCAAATTCTGCAAAGTGAAA